ATAAACCCCTCTGGGGATGCCGCCAGCGGCCCAGCCGTGGCGGATCTGGGCTGTCCGATGCCCGCGTGCTCCCCGTCTTTGCTCCCCGTCTCCCTGGTCTGGGGAGACGTGGAGCAAAGCCGCAGAGCACGCGGGCAGCGGACAGCCCAGACGCGCCGCGGCTGTTCCGCTGCTGGCGTCCTCAGAGGCTTTGCTTCCCATCTCCCTGGTCTGCTGGTCTCCAGGGAGACGAGCAGCAAACCCCGTTCGTAACTGCGGATCCGACATAAGTAACTCGGGGACTGCCTGTACAATGGCAGGCTACTACAGTGCTAGTTATGGAACAAAGGTGCAGTTCAAAGCATAGTATCTCTCTCTCTCTGAAAGCTTTTCACAGAATCAGCACTTCATTGACAATAGTCACCTTTAAATAATCCTCCCCAAACTGTAAGGACCTAAATTGCCCCAGAAAATTCTCATCGCCAACTATTTAAGCTGTGCTTTACCAGCTTCCATTTTTATAAAGATCCAAATATAAAACCCTTTTTTACACTGATGTATAAATCCAAGTACTAGTACCTGTAATAGTCTAAATACGTGTATAGCAAATGCTGCAGACTACGTTCTAAACAATACAGGATGAAATGAGTATGGAAATCCAAACCACTCGCGTCATATTTTGGAACAGGATGTGGACTTTGCATCACACCTCCAATGTGGATCAATCTTAGGAGGAGAAGTTCAAAGTCTTCTTGTTCAGATGGGACAAATATTCCATTTCTACAAAAAAAAAAAAACACCTGAAATTAAGCAGTTGTCTCAGCTGAAATTTCTTCACTGAATGGCTAAGTAAGAGGTCTTCTACTGACATTTAATTGTTTTATTGCAGAAGTGAACATAACATACAAAAAGAAGTACATTTCCTTACAATGCTCTCATAGCACTGTATATTAGTGTTGCTGGAATTCAGTGTGAGAAAGTGGGAGAGATTACATTACATTACAGGATTTACGGTAGCAAAAATAGGTAGTAGAAATGTAACTTGCGTGCTAAGGGGTCGATAGTATATTTTCTTATGTTTGTAAGACTCAAATTACATTTAATGGGAATTTTGGTCATGCAAAGAATCCAGGACTGAGCCACACTTTGCAAATGGTTAAAACTATTTTCATAAAAATACAGCATCATTAAAGATTAATCTTTATCTAGGATTTTACATGCATACACTTCTACATCAGATTCTAGTTCTCTAGAAAATGTAAAGTTAGTATTAACACAGTGAGGACACCTACCTAGCCAGCTTGTCTAATATTTCATTTCTCATATAGCTGCTGCATAATGTATTTTTGTCAATAATATCTGGTGTCAGAGAAGGCCAATTAGTCTGTTGAAACAAGGTACGATTATGTGGTTGGGATTCTTCAATCCACGAACAGATGTTAAGCCAATTGTGCTGGGATGTCAGATACATCCAAAGAACCTCAGGACTACAGGACTTCAATTCTGTGTTAAAAAAAGCCCCCCCCAACACAAAACTTTAGGGTAACAGTTTTTATAAACCCTTTATAATTACATAAGTACACCCTGAGAATGAATACAAGGTTTATTCTTTTGCTAATACAATGCTGAATGTAATACATTGTCATAACTAGTTAGAACTTTCACGGTGGAAAAACAAAATGCTACAATAAGCTTTCTGGAACAAACTATTATGTAAGTTATTCATAATGTAATACATTCTTTTGAGAAGTCTTTTTAGCTAGTTCCATTCCTCTCTTCCTCAAAGCAGCAGAGGACAGACAGATTTTCTTGCCCACATTCTGAAGGCTGGTTCAGATGAATTTCATAATTTATCTGAATTTTTCTCCCAAAGCACAAATTAACCTTTCCTCATAACGGAACTGCAAAAATAAAGTGAACCTGACTCTATGTAGCCTCTCTTTTGCTCATCCTGGACTCATTATATGCTCCACAAATCCAAACGGAATTCACATCTACAAGTCACTTTAAATTTTTAATGATTAATTTATTCAACTACTTAATACTGGAATACTGACCTTCTTGTGATCTTTTGGGAAGAAGAACCATTTCTTGAACATGCCGATCCCACCACTGACCCCAGTTTAACATAACTCTGTGTTCCCTGTTGTGAATTTCATGTTTGCCACAAGTCAACAATGTATCCAAAACAGCTGTGTGACTGGACAGATCTTGTTCCTTTCTCCAATTCCTGAAACTGGCAGAAATTTTTACGCATTAAGATAATGAGGAGTTCTGTGGCATCAACTTTCGTGGGTAAAACCCACTTTGTCAGATGCACCTGTCCCCTCTAAGACATGCAGTCCCCTCCAACTTGTACCCATTCAGATGTTTTACTAAAAACTTTGTATAAACTGTAGTTTACAATATTGATAAGTTTAACAAATTCATTAACACTTTGTTACTTATAATTTTGAGTGGTGCCTACAAGTGATACCAACAAAATCTGTATCTTGAAAAAAGATTTTGGGAATGCCAGCAATGTATTAGTACTTGCATAATAAATGAGTGTAACAGGGAAAAAAAGGCTAGTTAATTGCTAGGCACGGTAGTAAATATTCAATGCTGTAAAAACTGAACTGATATACCGTGCACATGTATTGTAATAATTGTGTTTTATAAGGACTAGCCTATGCATAAAGCCTCCTAGTGTGTTCTCAGTTCAAAGGTCTGTAGTCTACTATATATTTTAGAGTTTATCAGTCTGTTTGATTAAGGGCTCCTCCTAAACAGTAAGAGCTAGGACCACCAAATTCGGTTCACAGTTTCCTCTTACCATAACTTAAAGCAATGTAAGGGTTTGGTTGTGCCAGGAAAGTGGGATGTGCCTTGAATGGGATTGCTTCTCATAAAACCAAACAGAAATGAGACAATCACCAAAGCAAGTTCAGTCCTCAAAATTGACAAGACATTGAGTGAATATTAAAAAAGACTGAACCAAGATGAGACAGACAAATAGGATGAATCTGGAATAGGACTGCTTCTCAATAAGCCTTACAGAAAAGAGAGGAAATGGAGAAATCTGCTCTTTTTGGCACAGCTAAATCAATGATTTGAAAATCTAGAAGATGATGTTATTGGAAACCAATTACAGATCCAAGCAACACTGGGTAAATCTGCTTGTTTGCTATATTATAGAATACTCATAGCATTGAAATCAAACTGATTCACCTGAGCAGCAACACTAATATTTGTTTTACCCTTAACTGAACATTTTTTAAACTTCAGAAAAGTCAGTTATTCCCACTTCATAAGCTCTATAATGAGTGCACCATGTGATTCTAATGTTGCTTGGGCAGCTATAATCTGTACCAGCTGCAGCCTCAGCTCTCCTGTGTCTACTGCAAACAGCAGTTTTACAGGAAACTGCAGACCCCTGGTTTTAGTACAAGACACAGATGGATAAATGTTTTGCAGCACACACAGACATTCACTGAATGTTACAGCTTGCAGTTAACTATGCAAGAGTCCTAGCAAGTCACTGAGTTTATCTTCCTGTCCATGCAGGTCTGTTCCACATGGTAGTTACTGGTTATGCATAAACCCACAGAAGTAACTAAAAGCCAAAACACCTTTTTAAATTAACTGCCATCTATTGTGCCTCAAACAATGAATAAAGAAATGCCATATTGTAAGCCATACATGCAGTAGGCCTTAACATGTCATCAATTTGGTTTCATATACCTAGTTAAATTATGCAGAATCCACAATGACCCAAGGTAAATTGTTCCAATGGCTAATCCTTACAGTTAAAAATGTACACCATACTTCCAGTCTGAATTTGTTTTATTTAATCATTTAGCCACTAGATCCTTTTATATCTTTGTCTGCCAGACCTTACATTTCATTTTCAAATATCTGTTCTCTATGTAGTTACTCAGTCCTTAATTTGATCTTTAAGATAAAGAGACAGACTCAAAGAGCTCAATCATTATAAGCTAGGTTTGTTAATTATTTAATTGTTCTCATGTCTCCTGCCTGAACCCCTCTTCAGTTAATCAACATCCTTCTTGCACTGCAGACACCAGAACCACATTCAGCAGTGGTCCCATCAGTTCCAAACAGAGAATCTCTACTCCTACTCAAGATTCTCATGTATGCATCCAAGGCTCACATTAGTCTTTTTTTATTATTATTTTAGCCACTACCAGCACAAGCCACTGTTTTATTTCCATAGCGGTGCCATAAAAAGGACTCCATTGAGCTGACAGTAAAAAGCAAGCCTGGCAGAATTCCTTCTTTTTATTTAAGTAACTGACAGAAAATATCCATCTGTTATATATATTAAAGGGTCTCTCTGTCCTAAGGATGTTCAGTACTAGTCGACTATCTGATAAGCAAATGCTTATTGGATAGTTGAGTCGACTAGTCAATTCCACCCCCTCCCCCCCACTGCCTCTATTAGATAGAAGCAGCAAAGAGGGGAGGGAGTAAGAGGGGATACTTCAAAGCAGCAGCGCCGCAGAGCTGATCCCAGGCTCAGCTGTGCAACGCTGCCCCTTTGAAACACCGCCTTGGCATTTCAAAACAGCACCGTAAGGAGCTGACCCCGAGCTTCATGAGGCACGGCCGCTTTGAAATACCAAGGCTGCATTTCAAAGGGGCAGTGCTACACAGCTGATCCTGGGCTCAGCTGTGCAGCGCTGTCCCTTTGAAATAGCTTCCATATGAGTAAATGAATGGAGATGCCTATCTCCTAGAGCTGGAAGGGACCTTGAAAGGTCATCTAGTCCAGTCCCCTGCCTTCACAGCAGGACCAAGTACCATCCCTGGCAGATTTTACCCCAGATCCCTAAATGGCTTCCTCAAGGATTGAACTCACAACCCTGGGTTTAGCAGGCCAAGGCTCAAACCACTGAGCTATCCCTGACAGAGGACTCAGCTGTGCAGTGCTGCCGTTTTGAAACACTGAGGCGCGTTCAAATGGACAGTGCTATACAGCTGATCCCCAGCTTAGCTGTGAGGAATTGTCCCTTTGAAACGCTGCCACGGCATTTAAAAGTAGCAGCACCGCGTGGAGCCCTGGATCAGCTGGGGAGTCCCCAGCTGACCCCAGGCTCCACGTGGCATTTCAAAGCTGGCACACCTGCATGCAGCCAGGAGTCAGTGAGACTTCCCACTGGCCCCGGGCTGCATGGGGAGTTCCGCATTCCTCCTTTGAAATGTACAAGAGCCCCAATGGGTTTTTTGTACATTTCAAAGGTGGAATGCGGAAGTTCCTATTGACTAGTTGAGTAGTCGATGGAAATTCCATTGACTACTCAACTAGTAAATTAACCAATATTTAACATCCTTAGTCTGTTCAAGAACTCCTCCTAAATGGTAAGAGCTAGAACTATTAAATTCGGCACACAGATTCCTCTTATCATAACTTACAGAAATGGAAGGGTTTGGTTATGCCAGGAAAACATTATGTGCTTGGAAAGGGATTGCTTCTCATAAAACCAAACAGAAGAGAGACAGAATCACCACACAGGTAAAAGGGGCTGGCTGGGGTCCATGTCCCCTCCCCACCTGGGACTGTTTCAACCCTGAGCCTCCCAGCCCCATGCACCTTCTAGGAATGTGGGTCAGACCCCTCCTCCCAATTCTGACAATCAAACACATTTTATAAACCACTAAAATACCTACTGTCGACATGTCAAAAGATAGACAGTAAATATCTTTAAATCAACAAATCATACCTAGTTTTATTATTCACGTGCTAAATCACTGGATTAACTCTAATAAGTTCCGAGGAAAAGAAAGAAAACACTGCTTATCTGAAATTTTCTGTTATGATTGTGATCAATGGAAATATTTTTCATTGGTTTTGGTCTACAGTGAAATTGACATTTACTGATCATTACCCGTTAAATAAACCTTATTGTTAGAAGACCAATAATAGGCCAAGACTAACATGCAAAGATTTTACATTACGTTCATGATAATAAGTGACCTGTCTGTGAAGAAAATGACCAACTTGCAGAGCTCTTTAAAGCATTTTAAACTATCTATCAGGAACCCTGTGACTTTGTAGATGCAACTACAAAAGCCCATTTGTTAGCACAGCAAAACCTATAAAATACAAATCTCAGATTTAAATATGCAAAGAACATAGCAAACTGAATCAATGTTATTCATTTAAGATAAAAAGGCAGTTAAACCATGTTACCTGGAAAGAGGTTGAATTTCTTTTTTGGTTTGGAAGGGTCCTGAATAAAAGTTTTCAACCTGATGCACAAAGTCTATCACCATCTTCTCTTTTTCAGAAAAATAGTTTTCTTCTTGCAATACTTTCACCTTCAAATAAAATTAAAGTCGTACCTTTGATCACAAATACATTTCACAAATTACTGTCATGACATAAAAAAAGAATTGAATCTTTTTGCAGACTTCTTTGATAACAAAGCACAAAGACAGAAGTGATCCACAGGGAAGGATCCTGAGGAGCTGAGAGTGCGGTGTGTAACAGACTAGGTGAAACCCTGGCCTCACTGAAGTCCTTGAGATTTTTGACAGCTACTTCAGTGGGGTCAGAATTTCATCCTGTCTATAAAGTCATGTATGAAGCACGCCGGGGCAGGGTAAACTGTCATTTCAACCAATTTTAACCTCAACTGCTGATGTTTTAAAATAATAGGCCATGACAAATCCAAGACCAGTGCCTGCTTGCAGGGGACACAGTAGAGTTTGTAACACAGGTTTTGGAATAGTGAAGAGTGTGCATTCCACAAAGAGACGTACAAAATGTTAACTAGAGTAAATCAGAGAAATCTTTTCTCCACTTACCAACAAGTCACGTACGTTTTTATCAATAGTGTAGAAACATATCTTGTGCAACTGCTCTTTCACATCAAAACCCTATAAAAAGCAGATTTCAATTGCAGATCACACAGTGTAATAAAAATTCTATATGCAAAGGCAGTTTTTACCACTCAAAACTGAGCACATTATTTTCTTTCACAAGTGCAACATCTTCACTGTGTGCACCATAGTATTTCCCTCTGCAGATCAGAAGAGAGAATTCAGTCTGCATAGAGCCAACAGAAGTACTGCATATGACTTGGGGCTGTTTGATCCCTCTGGATATAAAATGTATATCCAGCTGTTAGTGTACAAGTCCAGAAAAAGCATGTCCCTATGTATACTATGCATTGGTTAACTGAACATAAAACATAAGGCAGTAAGTAGAGCCATTTTTTATGCCATAGTATTCTGTGAGCAGCTTCTCTCACTAATGGATAACGATGCCTCCCCAACACACTCACCTGTGGAATTGGAAGGCAGGCCACTGTTTGTGCTGGGCACATCAGGGCTAAACCCTGCTCTTCAGCTCTGGCCATGAGAAAAGTTCTCCAAAAGGGAGAGAAGCACCGCAGCAACCAATAATTATTATTAAAATAAGAGTTCTTGTGCATTTCACTTCTCTAGAAAGTCTTTTAGGGGCTCCAAGACTAAAAACCCACATGGAAACCAGTAAGAGTAAAGAAAAAACTAAGATAAACTGTTTCCTTTCCTCCTCTGGTAAGGAGAGTTCTACCCAGTTTCCTGCTATGACATCTGGATTGAAAAAATTACACTGGTAACTTTCACTTCTTTTTCAGATATGTTTTAGACTTGAATGTCTAGGGTCTTTTTTTAATTTTGTTTTTTATTCAAACAAAATAGACACTGAAAGAGCAAGCAAAATATAAAGAAAAACATTTTACTCCACTTCTATACAAAGCAGGTAGCGGCAAACTATCTAAACCAGGAGTTTGAGACCCTATTTTTTTTCATCTACATTGGAGCATTTTTGCAACTGGTCCTGGGGAGTAAGGGACAGGGGGAAAAGAGCAGGGGTAGGAGTGTGTCCAAACCCACCCTTAAGCCCTGCCTCTCCCTGCCATGGTGCCATATCCCCCGAGGACCCCAGCCTTGCAGATTACTGGGGAGGACTGCCACTGGTTGGCAGCAGCAGTCCCCTCCTTCCTCCCCACACTTCCTGCAGTGGCAGGAGCTGCAGGGAAGCAGAGAGCACTTGGCGGGCACACTCACTCCCCTTTGTTCCACTTCCATGTGGCTCCAACCACTGTGTGGCATGTGAGAGACAGAAGAGAGACAGTTGCTGCTACCCCATGCAAGGCTCTCCCAGTAATCCCTGAGGCTGGGTCCCTTGGGAGCCAGAGTGCTGGGGGAGGAGAGGAAAGGGGAGGTGGCAGGGGGCTACATTGCGAATATGCTCTGGCCAGTAGAATGCCCACAGGCCGGGAGTTTGAGACATCTGATCTCAACACTGCAGATGGAAAGCTAGATTAACTGTGCTTAACAAGCCATCAATAATTCCTCATTATGTAATTGAAAGTGTCTTTAAATTCCTGCCTAGCCATTCATCTGTCACGTGTTCAAAGCATACTACATACGAGTATTCAAGGAATGTTAGTGGACAATTTTTCCTAAAAATAATGTTCATTTGTGAAATCATAACAGCTGCTGGGAAGTAAACTCCCCCACAGCTTAACGTACATTTGTTTGTCTCTTAGTCATTTGGAGATTCTGTCAGATTTATCAATATTTTAATCACACATCACTCACCATATTCCTTATGAGTTCTGAGGCCTCTTTGACATTGCCCTTTAGAAGACTGTCATAAACGAGTTCCAAACCTATTTGAATCAGCTTTTGAAGACTCTGAGCAGGATTGTGATTCACTCGAAAGAATGTCTGAGCCTCTGGTATTCTGTTGTTTAAAATGGCCTCAAAAATAATTTGCTGCAAGAAAAAAAAATTACAGATCTGTTATGTTCTCTAAAAGATATAGCAAGCTACGCTGCTGATGATCCATGTGCTCTTTGTTTCTAGCGACTATTTGACTAGCAAATATAAACCAAGTTCATTTAATATTTGCTTATTTCTTCAGCAGTTTGAACATAACTCCATGCTAATTCCCTGAATACATGGGAATTTAATACCCACCAACTGATTATTTGTTTTTACCTCTGATGTGAGTTTTTCCCACATTTGGTTTTCTTCTATTCTGGGAATGTCTTCATCAAGATCACATCTTATATTTAAGAGATTTATCTGCTTTCGAGGAAACTTTATCATAAATGTTCTAAGTTCAATAATGTAGGCGGTTAAAATATCCACACACTTCTGCAAGCACTCATCAAGTTCTGTAGAGGATAACAATGGGACACTTAACAGAAATAAAATGAACACTACAGCACTAACCCTTACAGCTCATTAAAGTTTAACATTTATCTATGATCTCAACCAACACAAAGCACAGTGGTACAGAGACCCCAATCTGTTTGGGCACGCCCATGACATCAGGGTTGTTCTCCATAGACCCACTTTGTTGTAAAGACATCGACTTATCAGGGTTCAAAACAGAACTAGATACATTCATGGAGGTTAGGGCCATCAATGGCTATTAGGCAGGATGGCAGGGATGGGGTCCCCGGCCTCTGTTTGTCAGGGGCTGGGAATGGGCGACAGGGGAGGGATCACGTGATGATTCCCTGTTCTGTTCACTGTCTCTGGGGCACCTGGCACTGGCCACTGTGGGCAGACAGGACACTGGGCTGGATGGACCTTTGGTCTGGCCCAGTCTGGCTGTTCTTATGTTCTTATACAGGATCAGAGCTCTATTTTGTAGCAATAAATTTATATTCAAATTACCTTTAAAATATACAAACATCTTAACAGTCAAGTGCTGTTTACAGGTAAGGGTACTACGATTTAGTCATAGGTATTTTTAGTTAAAGTCACAGACAGATCACAGGCAATGAACAAAAAGTTACAGCCCCTGACCTGTGCAACAAATACCCATAAATAAATCTTTGGTGCTGGGGGGCAGGAGTGTGCTCTAGCAGATGCTGCTGCTCCTGGAGGGTGAGGCAGCCCAGGACACTGCTTGTGGCTCTGGGTGTGGTGGGCGCAGGTAGGGGGCAGCCTGGAGCCATGAGGATGCTGCTGCTCTGGTCAGGGGGAAGTCTAGGGCAACACCCCTGCTCCTAGATCCCTGCTCCAGGACAGCACCTGGAAACAGCAGCAACTGATGTGGCTGTCCCCAAAGCCACCGGCTCTGGGGTCAGCTGCACTGACACTGCAGAAGTCACAGAGGTCCTGGAAATCTGTGAAAGACTCGCAGCCTTACTTATAGTGCATAAGAGGTTACAATGACTCTCATGGCCTCCCGGTGGCTTTGCGTCCTCCTGCCTGAGATCCGAGATTCCGTTTCTAGGTTATAATCTCTTTTTCCCCAGGCTGGCATGGACTAAGCACTCTTGAGCAGCGGCTCAGCCTCGGAAGAAGAGAGAATGAGCCAAAGCTTTGGTCCAGGAGCTCTCGATCTTTTTCTATCTGGGGCCCTGCCAACATGCTACAAGAACCATGTGGCCCAGCTGTGCCACAACAGTTTTTCTATGTAAGCATTAAATGAAAAGCCAGGCTGGCATTAGATGGTAGCGAGAAGGGCAACTGCCCGGGAGCATACACCCCACAAAACTAAGTTCCTTGGCTTCAGCCCCAGACAGCAAGGCTCAAGCTTTGGCTTTCTTCCCTGGGCCCCAGCAACCCTAATGTTGGCCCTGCAAAACTCTTGTAGGTTTGGGTAGACTCCCTGGAACCTGTTTGCTGTCCCCTATGGGGCTCTGAGTTCCTGGTAGAGAAGCTCTGTGTTGGTCCACAACAATCCTTCTGGTTGATATGGTAGTAGCATTTACAGGCTTTAAAGCATCTTCTCTGGCCAGAAATATCATGACCCAGGGCTTTTAACCTGGGGAGTGGGGAAAAATCTTCCAAAGACGAAGAAAGGGGCAGGAGAATACTTAGATACTTTTTGGAATTCAGGCTTGAAAGTTTACAGACATATATCAACTCTTACACGTTACACATTGGCCCTTCTCGGATGTGGCCTTGTCATCCTTGTTTATGCAGATCTGCTATTAATCTTAATGGGGGTTACACATGAATTAGGGCTGCATAATCAGACTCTTACTGGCCCCACTGATCCTAGCGTTTATATTAGTTATTTTGGCAGACATGTAGCTTATTCAGCTTAACTTCCTCTCCCTGTAAACATGATCTCTGATTCAATCTAATCTCCATCCCACGTTCATTTGTGAGAGTAAGAATCCTAAGGGAATAATTTTGAAAAACTTAGAACCTGTGCACAGAGTTTGAGAATCTTAAAAATAAAGATGTGCTATTTAGTTCTGAATCACGGAAACAGGGACAGACGTGTGCTATTACATGTTATCCATGCTAGTAATCTTACCTTCTGTGTGGACAAAAATCTCTCTGACTTGTTTGTTAAGAAAAGCCAAGGTAAGGTTTAGCAGCTGCTCAGAGAAGTGTTTACTCTGAGCTTCCAAATCATTTTCTCTGATTGCTGAGCAAAGTAAATCTAAAGCTGGCTTCAGTTCTTCCACACCTATAATCATACAGGCAATTAAAACCACACACACAAAATAAACAATGATGGAGGTAGTTACATAAGAATTAAACTAATTATGGGCCTTAAAGGTAAAGCACCTAAATCTTTTACACTATGTAATTAACCCAGTCACACTTTGCAAATACAACACTTTCTTTTTATATAAAAATATTTAGAGTAGCACAATATCAGAACACAGCCAAACGCTTCTTGTGCAAATTTTATCTCATTCACCTTTTATCTCATTTCATCTAGGACAAGCCTAGATGAAACATTACCATCCAAACATCTACCAGAGTGTGGATAAAGAGGCAATTTGACCTCTAACAAAAAAAATACCTACTTATAAATAAAAAAAGCAATTGAATGTAAATGTTAATGTAGCTTAAAGAATTTTACTTACTTCTCAAGTAAAATTGGGATGTCATATTGGTAGATTGTTCAGGTAAGGAACACGCTGAAGTAAGATTGAAAATATTCTCTTTGCTCTTTAAAAAGAAGTCTACTGTGTCTAGCTGACGGTTCTCCAAGCCAGCCTAAAAAAAGATACAACCACACCATCATGAATATTCAAAAAAAGATACACTGGAGAATTACTGCTAATATTTTTAATTTAAGTTCAATGAAGATAAAGTGGAAGCACATGGGGCAGAAAGAAAAACAACAAAGCAATTTAGACGTAGTGCCAATGCAGCAATGAATAGTAGACATCTCATCAGGGTACAAAAAATAAAGCTTATTCAAGATCCAGGACTGACCAATCGAACACTTGCTAAAGAACTAATGTAGGTTTTCAGTTCTAAAGGCCCCACATTTTATAAGCCTTCAGGACTTTTAACTAATGTCCTCATCTAAAAAATGGAACTGCAGTCTTGAAAAATTCTATAGAGAAAAGCCATCTGTTTGTTTTGCCAGGCAAGAAAATGTTAACATTGTGCCTAAGCTTATAAATGTTCATGCTGGCTCTGCAAGGTAGAAATGGTAAAAACAAAATTTATAAATAATCTAGAGAAAGGGGTAAACAGTAAGGTGGAAAAATTAGCAGATGATACTAACCTGCTCAAGATATTTAAGACCAAAGCAGACTGTGAAGAGCTTAAAAAGGATCTCACCAAGTGATTGGGCAACAAAATGGCAAATGAAATTTAATGTTGATACTACGTCTACACTGGCCCCATAAAACGGAATAGTCATGCAAAGCAGGTAAGTCAGAATAGGGAAATCCGCGGGGGATTTAAATATCCCCCGCGGATTTAAATAAACATGTCCGCCGCTTTTTTTCCGGCTTGGGGAAAAGCCGGAAAAAAGCATCTAGACTGGCGCGATCCTCCGGAATAAAGCCCTTTTCCAGAGGATCTCTTATTCCTACTTTCAGGTATTTGGGGTCAGTCTAGACGTAGCCGTAAAGTAATGCACATTGGAAAAAATAATCCCACTATACATACAATATGATGGGGTCTAATTTAGCTACAGCTACTCAAAGAGAGAGATCTTGGAGTCACTGTGGATAATTCTCTGAAAACATCCACTCAGTGTACAATGGCAGTCAAAAAAGCAAACTGAATGTTAGGAATCATTAAAAAAGAGATAGTGAGTAAGACAGAAAATATCCTATTGCCTCTATATAAAAGCATGGGACACCCACATTTTGAATACTGCATACAAATGTGGTCGCCTCATCTCAAAAAAGATATATTGGCATTGGAAAAGGTTCAGAAAAGGGCAACAAAAATGATTAGGGGGTTGGAACGGGTCCCATATGAAGAAAGAATAAAAAGACTTGGACTTTTCAGGTTAGAAAAGAGGTGACTAAGGGGGAATATGATAGAGGTCTATAAAATCATGACTGGTGTGGAAAAAGTGAATAAGGAAAAGCTATTTACTTGTTCCCCCAGGCAAGAAAATGTTAACATTGTGCCTAAGCTTATAAATGTTCATGCTGGCTCTGCAAGGTAGAAATGGTAAAAACAAAATTTATAAATAATCTAGAGAAAGGGGTAAACAGTAAGGTGGAAAAATTAGCAGATGATACTAACCTGCTCAAGATATTTAAGACCAAAGCAGACTGTGAAGAGCTTAAAAAGGATCTCACCAAGTGATTGGGCAACAAAATGGCAAATGAAATTTAATGTTGATACATGTAGGCTACGTCTAGACTGGCCCCAAATTCCGGAAAAGGGATGCAAATCAGGTAAGTCAGAATAGGGAAATCCGCGGGGGATTTAAATATCCCCCGCGGATTTAAATAAACATGTCCGCCGCTTTTTTTCCGGCTTGGGGAAAAGCCGGAAAAAAGCATCTAGACTGGCGCGATCCTCCGGAATAAAGCCCTTTTCCAGAGGATCTCTTATTCCTACTTTCAGGTATTTGGGGTCAGTCTAGACGTAGCCGTAAAGTAATGCACATTGGAAAAAATAATCCCACTATACATACAATATGATGGGGTCTAATTTAGCTACAGCTACTCAAAGAGAGAGATCTTGGAGTCACTGTGGATAATTCTCTGAAAACATCCACTCAGTGTACAATGGCAGTCAAAAAAGCAAACTGAATGTTAGGAATCATTAAAAAAGAGATAGTGAGTAAGACAGAAAATATCCTATTGCCTCTATATAAAAGCATGGGACACCCACATTTTGAATACTGCATACAAATGTGGTCGCCTCATCTCAAAAAAGATATATTGGCATTGGAAAAGGTTCAGAAAAGGGCAACAAAAATGATTAGGGGTTTGGAATGGGTCCCATGTGAAGAGAGATTAAAAAAAGTGGTCTTTTCAGCTTAGAAAAGAGGAGACTACGGGGGGATATGATAGAGGTCTATAAAACCATGACTGGTCTGGAAAAAGTGAATAAGGAAAAGTTATTTACTTATTACCATAATATAAGAACTAGGGGGTCACCAAATTAAATGAATAGGCAGCAGATTTAAAACAAAGAAAGGGAAGTTTTTCTTCACTCAGCACATTCAACCTCTGGAACTCCTTGCCAGAAGATGGGGTGAAGGCTAGGACTTTAACAGGTTTCAAAAAAGAGCTAGATAGATTTGTGGAGGTTAGGTCCATCAATGGCTATTAGCCAGAATGGGGAGGAATGTGTCCCTGGCCTCTGTTTGTCTAGAAATGGGTGACAGGAGTGGGATCACGTGAGGATTCCCTGTTGTGTTCCCTCCCTCTGGGGTATATGGTATTGGCCACTGTCAGCAGACAGGATACTGGGCTGAATGGACCATTGGTCTGACCCAGTATGGCCATTCTTATGTTCTTAAAAATCTCGTTCTAGCGACTTGTAAAACAAAAGAGATAGTTGTAAAGATGTTGATTTGGCAGAACAGTAAATGCTTTCATGATCAATATTTTTCCATATGCTCTTCCAGGCTCTTGATCAGGAAAAAAAAAATCTCTCTCTACAATATGTTAGCTACATTTCCCTATTTTCTTAGATTTCTAATGTTTGGTTGTTTTTTTTTAATAACTACAATATTCTTGGACTTTCTTTTAACCCTTAAGATACTGATTCACACTCTTACCCTTGACTCAACTTGTTGGGGTTTTTTTGGTTTCTTTGGTTTTTGGACTGGAAAAAACTATTAATGATGAGAGATTAAAATCTGCTTTAAGGGCATACTCTCCTGTTCTATAATAGATAAACGACATTTTACTTTACCTCTAGTGCATGTACAGGAATCGAACATCTTCCCCACCCATTGAGATGACAAAGAGAATCTACAGTGCCAGCACTTCCATGGATTATCAGTCTATTCAAGAATTCCTCTTGAGTTAAACCAAACAGAATCAAGAAGAGTCCATGCTCTAAATAAAAGAACCAAAATTACAGTCAATATAATGTTTAAATGTAATATTATTAAAACTGGACTTTCCATCTGTGATGCCCCTTTATGCCAACTGGCAAAGGATGCATCCAACACACCACTGTCAGAATATGTAGCCAAAGTCCTGTAAGGTCTGATAGAACTGGTGACACAGTCGTCGCAAACCCCATTGTGTGATATGTGTTTGAGTGGTGTAAAGAGAGTTACGTATGTGTGCTGGAAATACATTATTTAATATGTTATGGAAGCGGCTGTTAATCAAGTCTGCCCTAGTCAAAAAAATGTGGATTTACCAGCCTGCACAAATCAAGCCAACAAGCAGATGAGGAAACAGCACGGCTTGATTACAAGCCAAGGACAATGACAGACATTTACTTACCTCTAGGGCAGGGGTGGACAAGATGCGGCCTGCGAGCCTGCCAAACCCCTGGATCTGACCTGCAACCACCTTGCCAAGACCCTTAGGCACAGAGCAGCTCACGATGCTTTAAACGGCGAGCTGCTCTCTGCTTTGGATATTGGGGAGGAATGGGGGAGGCTTCATGCACAGCGCCCCTTCCCCTCCCCTCCCCCCAGCAAAATCTCTCCACTCCCACTGGCCAGTTTCTGGCCAATTTTGTTCATCACAAAGGGACCAGCACACTCTGGTCTTGTGAATGAAAGATCCTTCTGCCTGAGAAGCTGGAGATGCGGATAACTTGATGCAAGTGAGAAAGCTGCTTAATCCTAACCCTTGTTAAGATGCAAGTGAGCTTTTGTTTTGTTTGTAACTAGACTAGGGATGTGAATGTTTAACCAGATAACCAGTAAGCCTCTCCCTTTATGGGTGAGACTTACCAGTTAAGATTAACTGGTGGGACTGGAGCAGCTCCTCATCTGCTATAGGCAGGGGCTGCACTGCAGATACGGGCTGTTTCAGCTAGGATGGCCGGGGGAGGGCAGGTTACCACAGCCGGCCTGCAGACACACCCTCCACTACCTGCCCTCCCCTTTAATTGGTTAAACAATATATTCAACCAGTTAACCAATTAAACAGGATTTTTCATCCTTAAACTAGGGATGTTAAATTGCATTTAATCAGCTAATCACAGTCAATGGAATTTCCATCGACTAATTGATTAATCGATAAGGGGGGAAACTGCAGAGGCCCAGGGGGGTTAGCTCCCAGCCCCAGGAGATAACTCTGCTGCAGCTCTGCCTTTTAAATGTAGTAAGAGCTGCTGCAATTTCAGATACTTGCAAGACAATCAAGTGTGCCGTTCCTGAATGAAACCCCCATGTCCAAGCATAGCAAAGAAATCAGTCATAAAAGTCCTTATCCTCTAAACCAGATGATTACATGTGCTCATGTCCCACAGAAGCCGAGAATACAAGAAGGTCGTTAGAGTCAGAGAATCAAGTAACACTGCAGGATAGGGATGTTAGCATGTCGTCATTCACACAATTAACTGATAAGCCTGGATTTACCAGTTAATCCTAACTTCTATCAGATCTAAAGATTAGGGTGAGGGGGGTGGGGCGCGGGGCGCAGCAGTGCAGGCGGCTCTGCAGGAGCCTGTTACACACAT